TTAGCCTGGTGATGGGTATTAAAGAGGGCACGTTCTGCATGGAGCACTGGGTGTTATGCACAAAGAATGAATCATGGAACACTACATCAAAAACTAATGATGTGATGTATGGTGATTAACATAACAAATAAATTTAAAGAAAAAAAAGAAGTCACATCATGAATAAGCAGCATGCTGAATATACATGTCTTACCTTACGCTTGTTGGTGGGACACACGTAGAGATAGCTTAGAATTGTTTTCAAACCAACTTTATCATTCAGCTTCTCATAAGTGGTTCCATAATCAGTTGACCTATAATTCAAAAGGAGCATTAATGAGGACAGAAGTATACGTCATTTGCCTGCTTGTCAGTACAATGCATGTTTTACATAGTAGCATGGCTCTCGGGTGGTTTCTAGATGATTCATGTAGTATATAATGATGCTTAATTATGTACACAGAAGCATCATGTGAGTGGTTAACGTTTGCATTTAAATTGAATTGGTAAAAATTAAAACTCCATCTCTTTAGTCCTCCTTAATGTACATACACTGCATAAAGAATGTGGTTAAGTTTAAAAGATTAAGAGATAAGGGTGTTTCTTGAATTGACCACAAAAATAAAGAGTTTTTATGTAGATTTGACATTTTCAAACTTTTGCTTTATCTTTGGCACAGTAGAAAAGCAGGTTCTCCTGATTTATCTACAAATTGCATTTCCTTTCATGAGTCATAGAATATATGGTGGGTCAGTCCCTTCAAAGGTCATTCAGTCTTTTCCTATTATTTAAGAGTAAGAAAACATCTTAATAATAAAGAAATTTCACAGCCTTACTCAGTGGCCTTTTCTGGTGTTAAGCAACCTGTAGTTGGGAGGACATTACTTCTTGGCACTGACTTATCTTTTTTGAAGATTCTCTCATCTTTATCTAGCCCTTGGTTAATAACTTATTAATTCTGACTGAATCAATAGGCTTTAATCAGCATCTCTATCAAAGTTTATTACATATTTCAGAATTGTAATCTCATTAGATCATCATTACAACCATGTGCAGGAGGAAATATTATCTGTATTTAAAGAAAGTAGTTGACAGAACCTAAGTGACCTATTCAAAGAAAACAGCTGATAAATTGCCAGGTAACATTTGAATCCAGGTGTTCTGATCCTAAGCCCTGTGTTACTTACTCTATACCACAGTTTTTCCATTGTTTTTGTTTGTTTCAATTTAAAGGAAACATACGATTTCCTCTTGGCCTTCTTTTTACATATAGGAGATCCCAATTCATCCATTCATTCATTTACATCTGTAGAACTCCTAAAATGTACCAGACCCTGTGCTATGTACCAGGATACAACACATTGCCCCCACTCTCAAAAATCTCACAGCTTTATTTGAGAGAAAGAAATATAAGGCTATAATGTGTTTAGTTCAATGCTAAGGCTTAGACATTAAAGTTGGTTTAAACAGAAATAAAAAATGTAACCATTTTAATTCATTCCTGATAGTGATAAAAGCATAAATTCCTACAGGCCATGGAGACTACTAGAAGAAGTTTGTGTTAACAACCTCATCACCATGCATTAAGAAGCTACCCTGGACCAGGGACTGGAGCACGAAAGCTGCATAACGTATGAACCTGCATTAAGGGATTAAGAATTTAATCTGGCTGGAGGAGATCTAGGGCATTTTCCCCCTAAAATTTGTGTGTGTGTGTGTTTATATTAATTAATTATATTATAAATTAAATAATCAATTATATATAATTAGATAATAGTCAACATTTTATAGAATTTAGGTGACTTGCAAATCAGAGAAGATTGGGGTATTATGTAAAGTTTCTTGAAGAACTATTGCACTTCAAAATGGAAAATGGGTAGGGTTTTAGGAAAGGGAAGTAATCAGAGCAGAGCATCATGAACTAGAGGGCACCTTGTGTTACCCAAATATATAACTGGCTTTCTTCTGGACCAGCCTGCGCTCTATCCCAATCCAACAAACAGTGATTTGATAGCCAAGAATATTTGAAGAGCATTCAAAACTTTCACAGATCTTATCCATAAACCACAAATTTCTTTAGATCCTCCTTCCATATTTGTTTTTTTTCCCCCTCAAACTCATGCTGATGCGAAATTTCCTCCAGATCTCTAAGAAATACCTGAGACTTCTTTCTTCACTCAGTTGAATCTTGGTGTTTGACATATTTTTCCCCTACTCCTGGGTCAACTTCCCCTCCTTCCTAAGACTTGCTTGTCTCCAAAATTTCACTAGCCTTTCTCTAGCTCCTTTCATCAGATAACTTTTTCTAATCTTTATTCTAAACAATACTCATGAGTTCAAGAACCAACAAATAGATGCAAAAATCTATTGGGGGAGGGTGGTGGTAGTGGGAGGAGGAGAGAGTGTGCAAATACGGCTCCACTGGCACATGCTGCCCGGCCACAGGTGGACGTCAGCAGGACTATGTTGGAGACGAGAGAATGGTTTAATTTTCCTACTGGGATAATAGGAATGGAGGCTAGAGAAGTAGGAACCAGCCTGTGGGGGGCAATAATTAGTTTCTTATCATTTCTATCAACTTGATCCTTGAGCTATTTAATGAATGTGTTTACATTAAAAAAGTATACTCTACAAGGGCAAATGAGGATGACTCCATGAGGATTCTACATGGAATCATTCTCGTGTGTGTGTGTGTGTGTGTGTGTGCATGTTTAGCTGAAATCTCAATGTGACAGGATGATAATAGAGTGACCAGCTCAGACATACATTAGTAACTTTCTTTTCAGAGAGCTTACAATATGTCATTGAATACTTTCCCTTTATTATAATATCACCAGTCCAGATCCTTCAAGGTGTCTGCCACCATTGTTTAATGCTGTCTCTTGCCCCTTGATTTTTCAAAGCTCAGCAACTGAATCAAAATTTAATTCTCAATTCCAGCAGAACTAAGTATTTAAACATTATGGCATTGTAATAATTAACAGAGAGAGAAAAAATTATGCATTTCCACATGCCCAAAACTGCACAGACCAGCAGTTGTTCAAAGTTGTCCCACAAAATTAGAATTAGATAGTGCTACATGCAGCATGGGTAATACTAACAGTCAGCCAGGATACATCGATTCAAGGGTACAGAAGTGAAAATATTTAATATCTGCAGACCAGTTGGTAAATAGTTACTGCACTAAGTTCTCCAAGTAGCATTTCTGCCAGTCTTACCACATGGCCTCTCCCTTGGAGACCTAGATTTCCTCACAGTCCAGCAACCAAAAGACTGAAGGCACAGCAGAGGTCCTCAAGACATTTGCTCAGCACTAAGAGGAGCACCTGTTCTGAATGGTTAGTGCCTATGCCAATCAGCCTGAGCCCCAGTGGAGGAGACAGTGACCTTGGAGAAGGCACTGCACCCTGGAAAGCAATTCCCAGTGCCCATCTGCAAACTCCCCTTCCCAGCTAACACATGCTTCCAGTTATGCTTTGCATGGTCAACGGTGGGAACTGCAGCCCCCTAGGGATCTGGGCTCTGAAAGAGCGGATGAGAGACAGACAGTTGAGCCAATGTACTGGCTGTTAAATATTTTAAGTATCGTCCCTAGGTATGGGGGAGAGGAGAGTTATCTGAGATCAAAAAATGTTAGGAAATGTTTGATAAGGAAAATTTAATGTTCCTTTACTTGAGAACTTATAAATTTTATTCTTCTCAAATACATACATAAATCTTTTTATTTTAATATATGCTGTGAACCTACTAAACACATATATTCCATGAAGCATTTTCCAAACCTATTTGACTATAGGGTTCATTCTTGAGGGCTATCTAATTAAATTACTGTTCTGAGCAACATACTTTGGAAAAGCGTATCAAAAACAAAAACAAAAGAAAGGCACAAGAAATATTATGAATCTGTTTTATAAGAAAAGGGGAACAATAAAAATAGTTAAAACAAATCAAATTTGCAAAGAGAAATGCCTGCCTATGCTAACCATAAAATGACTACTGTTGTCAAGGCAAAAAAAAAAATCTTAAAAAGATATGTAGCACACAGAAATGTATTTAAGATGCAATATAAACAGCCTTGAATTCTCAACTTGTACCATTTCTTAAAACATTCCAAAACAAACATTTTTTTTTTCAGATTTTATTTACAAGTTGACTTATATACAGATGGAAAACAGGGTTTTTGTCAACCTCTATGCTGTGTAAGAAAAAGCTGAAACCTTAAAAAAAAGTGCATTCCAGTAAATATACAAGTGATTAAATCAAGGTGCTCAGGTTTTTGCTTTTGATCCTTAATCCTTAAACTACCTTTCTGCAAACATATCTTAAATAGTGACTTTTAGAACATTTGAAAGTATGTCTTTATTTAAGTATTTACTGTATTCATAGAGCTGAAACGAGTTGCCCTGATGGATGGAGAAACCACGTTCAATGTATGGCACCACCCACCTTCCAAGACCTTGTGCTCTCTTTCAGAGGGCACTGTCCCATCACACGCAAATAGGGATCAATACAGAGCATGGCTAGTTTCCACAGGGAGTGGCAGAAAGAAAACAGGATTGCATTTCCTCTGCTATAATCATATACCATCAAATGAGATAATAAATAAGCACAGAATCATTTGTAAACTACATTAATCCATAAAAAAGTACTTAACACAATGACTGGCATGTAATAGCAATCTCTAAATGACAGTGTGTGTTTATTTATTTTGTCACTAATTTTTTCTTGATTATTTTTGGTATCCTTTACCCATCACTTACTAAAACCCACAACATGAACCCTTAAGAAGAATTTGAATCACAGAAAATAATTTAGATTTAGCTTTTTTAGAAGAGAAAATATTCATGAAGTTACTACCATTTTTAAATGTAACCAAATCTAGTCTATCATATTTTAAAGGATATGGGTGCCAGTAGCTTTGCATGGGGCTTGAATTAGGGAAGAAAGGATAAGAACTGGAATTGGAGAGTGATTGATTCTACACTCTGCTTCTATAATAAGTGTGCCAGGATTTCCTGAATGTACTATTATGCTTAGGAAACCTAACAGATAATAAAAATGAATGTTTATCGGGGTGCTTACAATGTGATCTTCATTCTGCATGCTTCACATGCAGAAGCCCATGAGATGGACACTGATACTAATCACAGGTTATAGACAAGGAGGAACCAGGAGTATAAACGAAGCCACAGAATTTGGAAGATGCAGTCCTCACGCAGGCTGCCACTCGAGAGCCTTCATCCTTAACCCCATGCTGCACTGCCTCTCTCAAAAGCCACAAGAGGAAAAGGAAATACATCTACAAAATCTAGTT